CTGAGAGCTTTTTCCTGTTAACACGTTTCGACTACCACGGGGGTCACCGATGACCGTATCTTTCATATTATAAGGAAATAATTGTAACTTGTAGAATGTCTGGTGTCGAAAGTAAATGTTTGGTAGCGTGAATAACTAGATAATAGTGTAACGTGAGATTTGTAACACTAAATAATGTATTATTCTTTCCTTTTATCTTTGCTGGGAAAAGAATGGGTGATATTTAAAATGGTGATGCTTTTCGTGATAGTTAACGTGTTGATATTAGGAGTACCGGATTGATCGAAATTCTAGATTTCTTCTTTTATAATTATTAAAAATACGCAAATGCCTGTTTGAGGAATTATTGACTATTAACACACCTGTCCGTATAATGGATGTCACGTCTCTTATTTGCTGGTTATTGAAATCTTGAAAGAGTGAAATAACCGAAACAATTTGAAAAATAATTGGTTGAATATTGTAATAAGTACACGAAGAAACCGAAAAAGTCTGTTATTACCATTTTTATAAGGATTAGATTATTAATCGTATTAAACGACTAGTAGTTAAAACAATTGATTAGGTAATTCGTAAAGTAGGAGACAAGCCAATTGAAACCTTAACAAATCCAGTCTTATAGTTTCTATAAAATAATTAAGAAAGGTTAATTTAACTGCTCACCGGTTCTAGTGTTAATATATTCAATCCTATGTACTCGATGGGAAAATTATACTGTGTATCGGAGCAAGAAGGAACTAACAAACGGTATTAATTATTTTTATTTGTTTTATTGATTGGATAGCTTTCATATTCTATCTCTAAACAATGTTTGACCGAGCGAAACGGTTGCCTCAACGTGCATGCGCGAGAAGTCACGTGAATGATAGCAGTAGCCTATGAATGTAGCCCTTACTACGTCACGTGGTTACAACTGCAATCGACGAATTAAGAACACAAACAAATTTGATGGAGAAACAATTAATGAAATTACAAATTTCTTTCAGAAGAACCTCGTATATTCATTCTCTATATTTACGACTCCAGGAATTTTCTATCAAAAGCAAAATTTAGTACCATGATAACCTTAGAATAAACTGTGCATAGTTCTATAAATTGTATTTTTCATAAGGCAATTACATATGTAGGAATAAAACATGAGTTTCCATTACAAATCAGTTAGAAGTTTCATTATATTCAGTTATATTTTTTACTTTATTCAGTATTGCACATTTGTTGGTAACGTAATACATAAAACCCGCAGATTACGCGGAAAACGCTTAGAATAATTTGGAAACGTTTTACGATGAACAGGCAGTACGCCATCGCTCTTTCAAACTTCGCGCCAATTTCTGTATACACCCTGTATAGGTTAAACAACGTTTATTCATTCGTCTACGTAGCCAGGGACGAAGAACGCGTTTGCATTGCATGTACGCGCGATCGGGCTCGTGCATGCACGTGTAATGTATACATTCTGCGGTCGTGATAAGATCGAGAAGAAGCTTGCGCAATCTCGAGTAGCGATTACCACGAGAGGCAGTGTCGCGAACAGACGGACAGACCCGTCGCCGCCACTGCCGACGGCTTTTACCTACGTGTTGCTCCGAGTGCAACTAACAAGGGGAGTGCCAAGGTGTGGAGATCGCTTTTGGAATGACAGTAGGTACAAGTTGTAGCGTATATCTAGCGTTGCAAAACCATCGTCAAGCTCGTCAGAATGGGACTTCGTTTTCGAGGAATTTCAGTTCGAACTCTGACACGTTTTTAGTAACTCGCCAGCAAGACGAATGACAACGGAAAGTGATTGTAACCTCGGTGGCAAAGTGTCTCAGCAAGATGCTGGACGTTGGAATTCGAGTCCAATTAATTCTAGTGGAAATAACTTCTTCGTTTTCCTCTCCGAATACGTATTCTTGTGAAATCATTTATTTTTTTTTGTCGCAATGGTACACGAAAATGAATATTATCAACAATTAGCATTTTATTAACATTCTTTTCTGTATTCATGACAGAATAGTTGTGTCTTGGAGATGTCTAATTGGGAGCAAATTTTTAATGCATTAAAACCAAAAAAAAGAGTATGTCGAATGGAATAGGATTTCGAACCTGAAACCTACGGAATAGTAATCTGACTTTACCATGTAACATGTTTTCTAATCAAATTATTGGATGTACGTAAAAGTTTAACCACAAATTTCTCAAAAACGAAGGTCTATTTTGATCCATTACGATCACATGTATCAGTATCACGACAAAAGTGATTACCCTACTTTAATACTCTCTTCATAAATCCCCGTTAGAATAAAAACACACCACATACACTTATCATTTCACGTTCAAATATTTTCAGTACTGATGGTTTATTAACTGAATAAGTGAATTTACCGGAGTATCGACCAATAAAGTAGAAAAACTATCGGCGATAATGGCCGCTCGTATCAACCGAAGGTAACGAATTTTAGCATGTCGGAAGCACCGGGCCACGTTTTCGTTAATTACTTCACCGCGGGTGCATATCGCAAAGAGTGTCAGGCCTCAATGTCGCGTTAATTACGTCATTACTCGTTGTGCACACGTATATACCGCTATAGGCTAACGCCCCATCCATTCGATCCCGTTTCCTTTTTTCTGTAACAGTCAGCCTCGAGCGAGCGATTTTCTCGTGCCCCTCCACCTCTTCACTCTATTTTTCTCTCTCTCCGTTACGCGTGCTTTTTATTTCTTTTTCTCGAGCAACCGTCCTCTCTTTCTTTCTGTCTATCTATCTATCCCGCTCTCCTTTTCTCTCCTTGCCCCTGCGTCTGTCTATCTCTCTTTCTCCCTCTCACTGTTGCGAGCAGTTTTCGCGCTTTCTTTCCTCGATTATAAAACGGTTACGCTGGAAGCGTCGGTGTCGCGACTTTCAACGGATTTAACCGACACGTTTCCTAGGTAAAATACGCCAGACTTTCGTTCGTCGGTTTGAAGTTCCTTGATCGAAGATAACAAGTCTACGCGCTAGATATATTCCGCGTTCGACCTTCGATTTGATAACGTTAGGATAACGTTCCGGACGGGAATGCATTTATCGCGGCGGCGATTAAACTGAGTCGGCTGAAATTTCGCACGGCCATCGGGAAAACTAGACATCGTCGATCTACAGTATCGGAATAATTCCCAATCGCCTAACCTTAAAATGACTTCTACTCGGAACGTTGCACGGGAAAATTACATGCGTCCCTGTGCGTTTAATTGCAGCGAATTTTCAAATCCTCGTAAACCCAAACATGATAGCACAGATCGAACGGTAGACGATTACCGAGTAAAGGTAGAAGGTAGACGAAGGCGGTGGTTATTTGAACAAGAAGATAACTCGGCCCGCGACTTAACGGTTCACTTAGAACGCGAAACGTCCATATGCAGCTTGTTAGGAGAGAAAGAAGTCGCGAGGTGCGCACTGGATCGAAGAAAATTCCCGGACGCAAGAATCTCTCGTGTTGAGGAGCACTGATCTGCAGTGTATATCGTGTATTAGCCGCGATGGTGGGGATGGTGGTAAAGGGTGTAAGAGGGAGACGCGGAGGGGCTCAAGGCCGGTCACGCTGTCAAGCCAGAAAGCCTGCGCGCCGAAATATCAACATGACTGTCCAACTCGGTTAGCCTCTGCTTGCTGCTCCGATTACCTCTCCACGTTCTTCGACGTACGCGTCTATCTCCTGTCTGTCTATCCGTCCGTTTGTTTCGCATCCACGTTGAAATTCGTAAAACCACGAGAAACACCAGAGCAACATTCTTCATTCGTAGACAACAACGAAGTGGTCTCGGGGTCGTAAAAGAATTCGAAAAGGAAAACGCACGATAGGGATTGAAGCTGAGGTTAGGGGAGGGGAGATGAAGACAGAGCGGAGAGAAGATGGTAAAGTTTCGGACAGGTGGTAGAACTAGTAGAGGGTGACAGCTGATAGTCGGCGACTCTGGCTATCGAGGGAGGTTACGAAACTCGTTACCGCGAGAAAGGCTACGACACGGTCTTGCAGGAAAGGAGCGGAATACTCGTCGTCGGTGTGCGAGAGAACGTGCGTGTGCGAGTGCCTCCGCGGCTCGAGGCCGAGAAGGAGAAAGAGAAAGAGAGGAAGAAGGACACGGAGAGACAAAAGGGTGAGACGCCGAAAGCGGAGAAAGATTCGGCCGATCGTTGGATCGGCCGAGTTCACCGAACGCCGCAAAATTCTCGGACGGATCTAGTTATCGCGGCGTCGGGAACTGTGGAAGGTTGATAAAACGGAAAACGGTTCTCCACGGACGAGAAATTTGTTTGTGGAAAAAAATATATGATGGAG